AAGTGACATTTCCATGGTAATCGTGAAATTACGAACACCAAGCCCACTTAATTAGACATGTATTCGAGTATAACGTCAATATGACTTCATTGTATTTCCTATTTTTAAATTATACTGCAGGTATAATAAAAAATACTATAAGATACACGTGTATAATTGGTCTTTAAAGCACTTGCAACGTTAAAGGCACTCCGCTTTGCGTCGTGCCCTTAAACTCGTTGCGCGTGCTTTAAAGACTTGATTATACACTTGTATCTTAATATACTATTTTCTGTTTATATTGATATATCACAACCTATATCTTTTTATGTGCCTAATGATACAGGATATTCCTAAACATGATGTAAACACGAATAGCGCTTATTTTATGAATATAAAAGTGCATATAAACATAGGGCCGCAAACGCGTCGATAGCAATCTACAGAGTATTATAGTTACTCAAAAATTACAAGAAACCAAAAGGTTTCTAAAAAAATCATAAAACGAAATTCTTGTTTCACAACCTACCAGCCAGGAACATGATGGCTGAAAAAACAACACATTAGGGACTCACGAGCGAAATATTTCAAAAACTGCAGAACACATAAAGAAAAAAACCTAAAACAATTTGTAAATCAGCATATGCATGATGAAAGCGTATTTTTGGTAATACCGATCAGTATTTTATTAGCGAAGTTTAAAATTATCTATCTCATGAGTAATCTAACTCAAAATAGACTACAGCCTGCACATTTACACTATAGCGGAAAGCTTTAAGTGAAAATTTGAAGTCTCTAGCTATTGTAATTGCTGAGATCTCAGCCGGACAGCCAGCCCGCCATAACGAATATAATAGCGTAAAAATCTGGAAATGTTAACACCCCATAGATTGGTAACGAAACTTTTGCGGGCCTATGTATAAGTTATAAAATAAGTCAACGAATTAGCTCCTTCCGTATTTACATCATATTTTGAAACACCCTGTATATATCATATTTTTCAAATTTTTTAAATATCCGTCAGCCATTTTTATTGATTAGTATCGGCTGACGTGAAGATATACAGGGTGTTTTTTTAGGAGCTTTAGTTAAACGTTTCTGGGAAAGTAAAATAGGTAGGTTTTTGGAAATTTGTACTTGGGAGTTACTCTGAAGGCCAACTACTAAAAAGAAAATGCCAAAAAAAATTGTATCAATTCAAAGAAACGTTTTAGTATTTTACGTGTACTAACTAAAAATGTAGTAACTGTTTGAATGCAATATACAGGGAGTGCCCAACAAAATACCTTGTCAATATACTTAATGGAGCACCCTGTATATTTTAATAATTTTGAATAGCCCTGTATTTCCTATTTTCAAAATATTGTATACGACGGATGTACGGATAGAAGGACGGACAGAAAGTCCAATCTCATGAACGAGCTCTAGTTCGCTCTTTAATAAGCGGGGGTCAAGATATACTGTAAACCTATGTAAGTTAGAAAAAAATTAGATAAAAACTGCCTATTTTAGGTATTTTTACGTAGAATCCAGTGCCGTAGCCAAAAAAATGTTGGGTCACCGTTTCTGTGGTTTAGCCCAAAATTGGTATTTTTTAATGCGACACCTGTATATCTTAACGTCAATTATTGTTTGCATTTTTTTTCCCTGATTACATTAATATATCACAACCTATACCTTTTTATAAAATTGTATATTATATTATATCATATTTTCCGAGATATTTTCAAAATTTTTAAATAGCATGCTTCTACTGTCAGCGATTTTTCTATTATTTTATTTATTGGTCTTAGGTAGTTGCCATGGATACAATAAACAAAACAAAAATCTCCACGAATCCATGGCCTGCTATCGTAAAAAATAAGGTTTTTATTTGTGGTTCGCGGCGAGGTTCGCGGTTAAATTTTGAAGGAAATAATAAATAGGTAATAGGTGTTGCATTTAAAAAATGCCACTGCCAATGCAAATCCCAGAAACGGTTGTCCAAAAATTTAGGCGGTTTATCTTATATGGGTCAAAAAGTCATACTTTTCACTTTCACCCTGTATATCACAAGCAAACGTAGCTAAAGTGATTCTGTTTGTGGTATGAAACTTTCACAAAGAAGGGGCACTACGGTGCGAAAACGAAAAAGGTAGCATATTATATTCTCTCTTCAAAAATACACCACTAAAAAAATTTGAACAAATTCGAGATTGGTTCAAAAATATTCCAAAAGATTAAAAAAATCATTTTAATCTTTTTAATCTAAATTTTTTGAAATCACTTGAATCTTTTTTGAATATATGATATATTTTTGAAAAGAAAATTTAATATGCTATCTTTTTGCATTACATTATACAGGGTGTTCGATTAAAAAAATTACATCGATCCCGATAACTGTTTTAACTGACCCCGTATACTTATTGTCAAAACGGCAGATTATAAACAAATATTTGTAATCATTTTTCTGTATGCCTTTCCACTAAGAAAAAACGGTCGTTTCTAAATTGACAGTTCTTTTGATTTTCACTGTATTTCTTAAGCGAGTGAATACTTTCAAATTCTGTTTTGAGTTTGGCGCTTATATTATCACATCCGCTTTTATTTCTTATCGTCAATGACTAATCTTTTATGGCGCCTCGATGTCTGTTAGGATTTCTAGAATTTTTGCTACATTAGAAATAATTTTTTAATTTGGTCGTTTTTCTTAAGTTCTTAACGATCAATTCCAAATTAGGGATATTTAGACACACAGTATGTCAATTATGGTAAATAATATTAAATCTACACACATCATTCCTTAAATAATACAAATAAAAATACGTATAATTGCTTTATTTTTTTTAGAAACACTTTGCAGTTATATTAGATGAACGTAGTGAAAACGAACAAATCCAAATTGGGGGTATTTGGGCCCGCACTATATTATAAGAAAGTATAAAGTGGTAACGTAGAAATTTTATTTGTAAACACCCTGTGATGTGTGGTGTAAAAATCCTCCGTTAGATGTCCCCTGCAGTTCTCGTTCCCACCTTTTGTAAATATCAATTTCGCTTGTCCCTATAAAAGTTGATTTTGTATTTTCACTAGGCAATTTTTCACGAATTTCTTTCCGTCCAGAATCAGAGACTTTTCCTGTTACCAGAACTCGTATTAACCAATCACTCATTCATCACTCCGTTTATTCCAGGAATAATTTTCCGTTTGTTTTCCATTCACCATTTCTTTCGACCTGTTGCTTTTGTATTTGATTTTGATTAGTTTTCCCATTTTACTTGCCTATACTGTTGGTATTTAACCCTGGGAGATTAAATAAACTATCGGGCTTCACGTTACCCGACACTGCAGTTGTTTCGCAAGATCGCAAGTATCACAGTCCTCCGTAGGTCCCGACCGATTAAACTGGCTCTGATAATGGGTCCGTTTGAATCATTTGGAAGATTCCCTTTTAAGGGCCGAGAGTTCAAAATTCAAACCTAAAGACTTCAGGCAATGTGTGAAACCTTCCTATACTTCCGTAAGATACCTATCAGATCAGATTATCTTTCAACAGCGTTGCAGGAATACCAAGGGTTTTAACTGTTGCAATGCTGTCAACGGAATGAAAGGATTTTTAAGTGTTTCATGATGTTCAAGGGATGCTCTGTTTTTACGGTTTCAATATTTCAAGAGTTTCATAGTCTTTGCGAGCTTCCCATAATTCCAAGGGTAAGAAGGGGTTACAAGAATGGCTAGGTTTCAACGGTTTTAGAAGTTTCAAGCGTTTCAAGAGTTTCAAAAGCTTCACGGGCTTCAAAGGGTGCAAGGGTTTGGATGGTTTTAATAGTTTCCGGAATGTCAAAAGCTGCAAGAGGTTCAAGGGTTTCATGGTTATAGAGCATCAATTGTATCAAGAGCTCCAAGGGTTTTAGAAGTGTTGAGGGTTATATTAGGGCTGCAAAATTATAAGGGTTTCATGAATGTCGAGTGTGTTAAGGGTTGCAAGGTTCGCAGGAGTTTTAACGTTTCCAGTGTTAAGGACCTCATCTGCAGGGGTTTCAAAGTTTTCAAGAATTTAAAAGGTCACGGTTATCAAGAGCTTCAGAAACTTGCAAGGGTTTGAAGTGTTTGAGGCAGAGCTCCCTAACGCATTTCGATAGCATTCTGAGCCTTTCCAATACTGTAGATTATTTTCACAGATTACTAGTTTCTTACATGATTTTTATGTCATTTGCAGGGCCAAAAACCTGTGGAAAGAGCAGAACAAAGGTTTGGGGGTGACCTAGAAGGCTGTAAAATCTCTTTAATTGCGTTGACACTGGAAATTATCCGTACGATCATAACAGTTCATGAAGTGTTCGTTGGGAAAGGACCGTAAACACATTATGAAAGTGATAGAACACTCTGGAGAGACTAAGTAGATTTGTGATTGAAGTCTAAACACCATTAATTTGGATTTGCTATAGTTTCCATTACGTTCACTTAAGAAAAAGGGATGATTTGTCAATCGCAGAATGTTACTGGATATTTATTGCTAACTATGCAATATCTATTGCTGGCTTGGTAAATTCAAAAGGGTAAGGAATACAAAAATCTGCCTTGGAAACTACTGCACATTACAGCACTACTTAAAGTTTTTTTTTTTGGTAGATCGATAATTCCCGCATCCGAGTGGACCTCACATGAGATGTTTGTTGAAAGATAATTTTTAGTGCAGGTACCGTAGTCGCATTGGCCACAATTTACGGGCCAAAATTCCAACCTGAACGTATGACATTTATGGCGGCATTTAAGAACGCAAATTATCACCGTTTAGCTTATGATGGGTGCAAAAAGTGGTTACACTCCTCAAGGCGCTGACGTTTCAAATCTGTAAATTTGACGACGCAGTTTACGTAACTGAGACAATTTTATTACCCCAGTAGCGTAGGTAAAATAAAAGCAATAAAGTTCGAGTTTATAAAGCATTTAAGCGTATAATTTACGGTGATCGTTGACTACGCTCGAACCTAATATTTTTTTTATGACCGCTCGTTAATAAATTTTTCTTTCTGTTCCAGTGAAAATATCACCAAGCACCACGTCTCCGTCTGCTTCGGAAAGAGGCACCGGTTGCAATACCGGCTTGCTGGTTGGAATGAATCTGTCCGGTTACCTGAAGTCGCCGACGGGGCCGCCGCATGGACACTTCCCGTCGCATCCGGGTCTCGGCACGGGATTGGGATCCGGCATGCCGATGCCCGGTCTCGGTCCGTTCGGTCTGCCGCACTCGCTAGATCCGGTCGGGTTTCCTCAAGGTAAATTCATAAAATTTTACCCCGCTCCAAGCTAAATCATTGCGAATCCTGGCAGTATTAGATTTAGATTATTTTGTTATATAAAAGCAAAGGGCGAGGGGGATTGCAGTGGGTAGGTGTTGGGTGGTCGCGTGGGTGAAGCCCGCCAACGTGCAGACGACACCGTAGTCCTCGGGCTTCTCGTTATATTTAATACATCACGAAACAAACTAACCGTGAGCGCTTTGTTCTCGTTTTCAAGCAAATGCAATAGATTTAATTAAATGTTCTTTTAATAAATTCTGAAAAACGGCTAAAGTCACGTGTTTAGTTTATGGAAGGTCCCTGGGCGAGTCTTTGTCACAAACACATTCCAAACTGCTCAAGAGGCTCTTACACTTTGAGAGCTAGCCCTTGAACGCGCTTAAAACTCTTTTAAGGATTGAAACAAATGTCTACTGGTTTTAATGCTCCTTAGGATTGGATCTTAAAGGTCCTTAAATTGTTATAAAAGTGTTTCTTATAGTATTTTTTATTATACCTGCAATATAATTTATAAATAAGAGAAATAAATAAAATTATATTGACGTTATACTCGCATACATGTCTAAACAAGTGGGCTGTTTATTCGTATTTCCATGATTGCCATGGAAATGTCACTTGACGTTTGCTTATAAAAATCACCGTCTCTGTAAATGAAATGAGTGGTTGAAAAAGATAATGCACCTTCCATTCAATGGCTTGTTTCAAAAGCAGAAGAAAAGTTGGTAGGTGTAAAATCCAAATCTGGTAAAGTCTTATTTTTTAAACATTCTCAGAAAAACTTTGAAATGCTCGCTTCTCAAAGAAAGGAGACCATCGTATATGAACTTTAAAATACCCTCGATGATCCTTCGAGGCTCTTAAAATATTGTGGAGACTTTCCGAGATTTTCCGATTTGAGAAGGCAGAATCATTCTTCACTATGATGCAGGTGCTAAGCGTCCTAACCGTTTTAGGGAAGAATGCAGATCAGAGAGGGGGGGGGGGTCCCCTAGGAAGAACGCAGAATCATCCTTCATTGCACTACAACTGTTATTAAGATATTTATAACGAACAATCCTAAGGCCTCCTACCAGCAATGATGGTTCAAGTGCAAAGGGTTCCAAACGTTTGACAGAAGGAAAAACTGTGAGGGGGGGGGGGGATATTCGTTGGCCTACAACAGTCATAGGATATTCGTATATTGGGGTGCGGTGAGGGGGGTATTCCATACCCCGTAGACCACCAGGTGTTACGTTCACCCATAAAAGGTTAAGCGTTAAACAAATTATGGTACAAGTGCGAGGGGTCCCAAACGTTTTATGGAAGGATGCAAAACCGGGGGTCCGGGGGTATAGAATACTCCCGAGGAAGAATGCAGAATCATTCTTCATTGCACTACCACTGTCATAAGAATCATGTACTGGGGGGTATTCCCGACCCCACGGTGCTACCTTTACGCATAAATCTTTCAGTCCGAAGACCTCTCATCAACAATTCTGGTGCAAGTGGTAGGGGTCTCAAACATTTTAAGGAAGAATGCAGAACCGAGGGGGGGAGGGTGTGGTGGTATAGAAGGAAGAATCGTTCTCCTGCACTACTACTAGCATAAGATATTTGTATGTTGGGGGTGTAATCCGTATAACCCAAACCCCCCGGTGATACTTTCACCCATAAAATGTTCAGTCCTAAGGCGTCTTATCAAGTAGCTATGGGCCAAGTGCTAGGGGTCTTTAAAAATGTTTAAAATTGTCAAAATCTCAAATGCGTAATCAAAAAAAGTGTCTTAAAGCGTATTAAAGAACTTGAAGGGGACTTTCAAAGACTCAAAGCCCTAGTCAAAAATATTGAAAATCTTTCGTAACTCAAAGGCTTTCAAATGCTCCACCATTATAGTCTTGGAAACCTTATAGTCTCTCACGGGGACGGTTTCCAGGCAGCGCTAAATGTATGGTACTGTAAGTTTTTTCTTGATTTGTATAAAAATTACGAACGGTTCTCTTTAAGAAATAACGTAAAAAAAATTGTATTGAAAGGTATCAATTTGTGTAAATTCGCTGATTGAGGCTACGCTGTATTCTATAAAAAAAAGTTTGGTTTTCTTTTCAAATTAATGTTGGTATAATCAGTTTCAATGTGAGTGTCGTTATAAATGAGTTCAGTTTTGTTGGCCATAAGGGGTTTACTTTTGTATAAAATAATCATAATATGTCCTTTTATTATTGAAGGTTAATTAGGGGTAAGCTAGAAAGAAACGTGGCCACGATATAGGATTTATATTGTCAGAATTTGTTTGGTAACCCGGGAAACTTGTTAAATACCTCAAAGACCAATCGTGCCCTAAAAATCTTTAAGCACTCTTAAAGGCTCTCAGAAGACCTTTAAGTGCGTTTAATTTCTCAAGTAGACGACCTTTAAACACTCTTGAGGTTTTTTGAATGCCCTTGAAACTGCTTGAAGACTGGCCATAAAATTAATAAATGCCACGTTTTTAAAGGGATCTAAAAAGTTTTTAAGGAAGCTTTTTAAAATTTAAGGATTATTAAATTAAGCGCTTAAGATTCTAATGTCTGTTAGTTTTACATTATTATAGATTATCAAAAATCTTTTAAAACTTTAAATTAGAAGGCTCTGAAGACCCTGCGAAATTGTGAGGGACCATTAAGAGCTATTAACTCTTGAAAGGTTGAAAGTTTTAGAAGACTGTTTGAAATTCTCAAAATCCCTTCAAGAACTTAAAATTAGCGACTCTAAAAAAGGCTACAGGGGCTCTTACGGGCTGTTGCAAGCGCTTAAACGCCTTAAGAAATAATGATCTTCATCTCGGAGACTTTTAAAACGTTTTAATGAAATATGTTTAAACATTCGGCTCTTAAGGGTTGTTAAATGGCTAAAAAGGCACTTGAAATATTTTTTTAAATTCTCTCAGTGTCTTTTAAAGGTTCGGTTTTCAACACTTTAAACATTTTTCAATGATTCTTTAAGGCTCTCGAAACTTTCTGAAGCCTGTTTGCCACTTCTAAAAATGTTCAAAGCTTACAAAGTATTTAAGACCTTTCGGAACTCATAAAACCTCTTAAATCCTATCAAAGATGAATTATTTTAGAGGTCCTTAAAGCCTGGAGAGCCCTTGTAGCCTTTCAAAAATCTTGAGAACTTTTGGAGACGCATAGACTTTTTTAAGGTTCGTAAATCTTTAAAAGCTTTGAGAAAGTTCATATACCTTTGGCGAACCTTGGAAGCTCATATGAACTGTTATCAAGGCTAAAAGCACCTAATGGGTTTTAAACGCTCTTCAAGATGCAAAAAAAGCAAGAATTTCCTAAAGACTCTGACATACTCTTGAGAGATCCTTAAGAGCCATTATCAACCTTTAAACGGGATTAAAACCCTTAAGGAATTATTTTAATGAATTTGGCTCTTACAGGCCGTTAAATGGTTACAAAGGCGCTTAAAATATGCATCCTACAATAGTATATTAAGATACAAGTGTATAATCAAGTCTTTAAAGCAGGCGCAACGAGTTTAAGGGCACGACGCAAAGCGGAGTGCCTTTAACGTTGCAAGTGCTTTAAAGACCAATAATTATACACGTGTATCTTATAGTATTTTTTATTATACCTGCAGTATAATTTAAAAATAGGAAATTCACTCACAAACTCGAATACATGTCTAATTAAGTGGGCTGGGTGTTCGTAATTTCACGATTGCCATGGAAATGTCACTTGACGTTTGCTTATAAAAATCGTCGTCTTTGTGAATAAAACGATTTTCGTTGAAAAAGATAATACACCGTCCATTAAATCGCTTATTGTAAAATCTAAACAAACGTTGGTAGGTGTAAAATCTCAATCCAGTAAAGCCTATTATCAAGCATATGAAAAGTTGTTTCCAAGGATGAATAGGAAGTTACTTACGAATAAAGTCTTAAATGCATCGATAATGCTGGCATATATGAAGGAAATGTCAAAGGTATTTAAATCTTCTATCTTTTGGTGCATTCATTCAAAACTTCACTTATTGCTGGGACTAAAAAGTGGAACAAATTTGGAAGCATTACGCGCGTTTGTAAAAGCTTCAACCAAAGGATAGGTACAAGCCAAAGAAATATTCTGCATTTACAGAAAGCGACTTAGGAAGATTTTTTATTTCACCCAGATGACAGTTTCAAAAGTCATGCTTGAAGTATCGTTACTTAGCAACTTTAAAGCACGTGTGTTTTAAAGGCCTTTTTTCGCACGCATTTGAGTGTTTAAAACGGAGATTGTGATTCAGGTATAATAAAATAGTATATTGAAAGACACGTGTTACAATGCGACCTATTGTAATACGACTATCTTGTGGCACGAGTGGCGACGCGAAGCGTAGCCACGAGTGTCCGCAAGATAGGAGTATTACAATCAAGCATTGTAACACGCGTTTTTCATACTATTTTTTCTATTTCGGTGCTTTAATTTAATTAAAAAAATCATTATCAGAAACTATAGGGAACATTAGAACTAACATGTTTTATGTTGGGAACACTTTTTATGCCGTTAAGTTTTAGGTTGGCAGCGTAGTAAGACTGACATTTTGAAGTTTAAACATGGAAGTACCCAACGAAGTACCTACTTGTACTAACTAGTAACTGCCAACTTAAGAGATGAGTTACCAAAAAAAAACGACTATAATCACTGTCTTTGTACAACTGTTTTCGGCCGAAAACAATTGTACAAAATCATCATTGTGACACCGAAATAGAAAAAAGCTTTTAAAGGCTCGGTTCTCCAAAAAATGGAATGGCTTTTAAATACCTAGTGCTCATAAAATTTCTTAAAGGCTCAAGACAAGTTTCTTAAACAATCTTAAATTATATTACAGATTTCTTCCGGACTTTAAAAGGGCATGTAAAAGGTCCTAAAAGTTTCTAAAAAATCATTTTTCGAAAATCTTGAAAAGCCTTGAAAGCTAATTGAGCCTTTTAAAGACTAAAAGCTATTGGTCTATTTAAGTGTCTCTTGGATACTATTTAACGCATTTTAATAAATACATTTACAGGCTCGGCTCTCAAAGGTCCTTAAATAGTATCGAAGGGTCTTAAAATATTAAAAAAAAAATACATTTAAGACCTTATTCACAAAGAAAGAAGAGAACCTCTGTGGCCCTCGGCAATTTTTGGAGACATTTCGCGCCTTAAAAAAGCCTCACAAAGGCTTTTAAAGAACTTGAGAATTCATAAAATCTCTTAAAGGCGTCTTATATTATGTTAAACCGTACTAAAGGTTTTTAAAGGTCTTCAAAGTTTTCAAAGGCTTTTAAAGCAAATGAAAGAACCTCAAAGCCTTGAAAATCTTTAGATAGTCATGGGCACCGTACTAAAGGTTTTTAAAGGTCTTCAAAGTTTTCAAAGGCTTTTAAAGCAAATGAAGGAAGCTCAAAGCCTTGAAATTCTTGAAAACCTTTAGATAAACATGGGCACTTTTAAACGACGAACAACCTTTGAACTTTACACCAACCTTTGGACTTTGAACGACGACCAACCTTTGGACTTCCGTACTGTGGTTGAATCGTAGACAGCGTATACAGCTTCTGACCTCCCGACCGAGCAGATATTTTACTCTCGAGTATCTACGAATCGCACCAATGCCGATGTGATTTGATTTCTCGTCATGAAGGGTCCCGGCATGGGCATCCCTTAAATGACTTTTTGAGGAATTATTAAGGTGTTTTTTTTGTGCCGACATGCAGGATGGTACCCCCTACTCTTAATAGTCCAATTGTAAGATGCTACTTGGTTGTTTGGATAACGGTACCGGTTCGTTAGCAGCTTCCACGCGACCTCGTAATTGGCTTCTCATACCGGAATCTATCCCTGTGGACCTCTAACGTCTCAGGTAATTTAGTCGGGAATTATCATATCTCAAACCCGGTACGTTGCCGATAGTACGATGGATCTTAACTGATAATATTTATTGGAAACGTTTATATGCTATTTATATCACAGATTTTCTTCCTTAACCTATGTTAATAATTATGTCAACTTTGCCAACAATGTGCTTAATATTGTTTTACTACCGTAGCATACACATTTTATTGTTATTCTTGGCGATTATATTTTCTTAATTTTGGCGGTTCTATATGTACCGGGTGACCCAATAGGACAGTTCGTCGGTCATATCTCGGGAACCGTTAGTCGTATCACTTAGGGGTAAAAAAAATTATTGGGTAAATCGGTTATGAAGAATCGCTGGAAAATATTTTCAACTTCTAAAAATGACCACCAGAGGGCGTAACTGCCATCTTAAATTTTAAAATTGCATTTTCTTTCAATTTGGTGCGAAAGTTTGTTTGAAAAAGCACCCTACACTTTTAGGTAGGCCTTGGAAAATTAAACAAATGAAACACGATGCATTATAAAATAATAACAGCCGTAATTTGTTCATTATTCTGCTGTGTTTACATTCAAAAAGTGCAGCTTTTGAATTTGTAATCTTTTTTAAAATGCCGATTTCTAACCAAGAAGCATTTAATATGCTAGCGGCGATGGTTCGTGGCCGATTCGGATAACGCAAATAGAAGATGCGGGCAGCGATGGTCGCATTTTGAAAATACTCAAAATATATCGCCAGATTAAATGCTTCTTGGTTAGAAATCGGCATTTTAGAAAAGATTACAAATTCAAAAAACTGCACTTTCTGAATGTAAACACAGCGGAATAATTTACAAATTACGGCTGTTATTATTTTATAATGCTTCGTGTTTCATTTGTTTAATTTTCCAAGTCCTACCGAAAAGTGTAGGGTGCTTTTCTTTCGCGCCATCGACAAACACCGCAAATACGTAAAAAGTAAATTTAAGATACATTTTAAGCATTTTTATTTATTAATTAATTAATCTCATTTTTCCAATATTTGAGTTTAGGAACGAGATTTTGAAAAACGGTTTTCACTGGCCTCTTTGGCTGTGATTTGGCTACTTTTTCATAAAGAAAAAGTCATATCAACCCATTTAATTTTTTTGATTTTTTTAGGATTTTGGGTAATAGTGTCAAAATTATCCCTCTGGCGGAGAAGGATTCAACCTAATTAACTATATTTTGGTTGATTGTCATTGCCCAAGGAATACTCTTTGCAACCATTCCAAATTTGTTAAAATCGGTCAAACGGTTAAGAAATTAAAGCAGGTTATTGCAAAAACAATTGAACGCCCCACGCCATCTTTGTTTTTGAAATAACTGAGTTTTTGTTTTTACGAAAATGATAGATAAACTGGTTCTCTTTTAAAATGTGAACATTTTTTTTAGTTTATTACACGAAAATTAAAGAAAATGCAATTTTAAAATGTAAAATGTCAGTTACGCCCTCTGTTGGTCATTTTTAGAACTTGAAAATATTTTCCATCGATTCTTCATGACCGATTCACCCAATAATGTTTTAACCCCTGTCATATTACGAACGGTTCTCGAGATATAGCCGAGGAACGGTCTTATTGGGTCACCCGGTACAACCAACCTTTGAACTTTGAACGATGAGCAACCTTTGAACTTGTTCGTCATGACAACTAGATAACTTTGACGGCTTCACCCGAATTTAGCCTTATGTAATTATAAATGGAGGACTCTCGGTGCGCCGACAGTGCAATATTGGTTTCGACCCAAACATTTCTGTGCATCAGAAGAACATTTATTATTTTTAGTCAACTGCATGAAGTCGATTTAGAAAATCAACAGGAAATTTAATTAAAACACAAACAAGGGACACATGACAGCACTTTACACCTCTTTAATTTTGTTTGTTTACTTAACAACCCCAATTTTATTTACCCCCCCAAGCGTGCGTTACCGATACCGCACTCTTCCGTCGTGTGTTGCCCAAAAAGAAATTAATTACCGCGTTAGATTCTAAAACTCTTCAGTTTAAAGTAAATTTCGGAGCGATCCAAAAGTGAAGTCTACTATACATCAGACAGGGGAATTTTTGACTATACTACCCTGTAGCTATGACGACCGCGCCACCCGCCACCCTTATAATCGGCTCAGCTTTGGTACTACTGACATAGCACTTTCCCCGTACGTTTTCACGAATTTTTGCGACGTTTCGCCTTCGCGAGAAATTAAGGAACACAGTTTACGTTCGCTCGCGCTTTAGGCAACTTTTGAGTATCGAATTACATTCCCCTATTCGGGCACGTCGTCGTATGGGGGAAAAACGATAATGTTTACAAATCTATTAGCGCGCAGATATATTCGTAGCGCCTTTCCTCCGGAAACCGCAAAGTGGACTCTCTCCGACGCCGCACTTTCTCGCGCGCGCCTTAATCCGCCGACCTTTGGTCCATTAACCGTCGGGCGAGAAGAGCAAACAAGCACACGCTCCCGATAAAATGCTAATCTCTGTTAACACATGCGTTGAGTAATTGAAAATAAACCGGGGGGAGTAGAGTTGCGTCGGGCCCAAAAACTGCGGCTACGCGCCAAAGATAATATTTTCCTTCGCGACTAAATTAGCGAGCGCGTCACGTGATTTAATTCACGGTTAAAATACGCTCCCCAATAAAATATCGGTAATTCAATTTGACACCCCAAAGCGCGCGCGTTCATTGGGCAGCTGCCGCGCTTCCCACGGCGCGGCGAAAACAAACAGTTCGCGCGGCCGTTTTCCGCACACATACATATACTGCCGGGCTCGCATTTCGAACGTATATATTGACAAGTTTATTATGCACAGGTTTTTCCTATTTGGCAGGTGTCAACCCGAGAAAGCAGCGAAGGGAGAGGACGACGTTCACGAGGGCGCAGCTCGACGTCTTGGAGTCGCTCTTCGCGAAGACGAGATATCCCGACATTTTTATGCGCGAGGAGGTCGCCCTTAAGATTAATCTTCCGGAATCGAGAGTGCAGGTAGGTTTCGAGTCCGCATTAAAATCCCATCAGCGATTAATTTAAGAGAAGACGAAATGTTTCCCTATCAATTTCCATCACATTTCGCCCCCCTTTTTACAACAAAAAAATGTTACTCTATAATGCTTCTTTTATGGTCCTGGTTCTGCGAGTGCAAGAGCGGGATTTATAAAGGCAAGAGGCGGGGTGTTTTCACGGAACAACCCTACATAATCCTGGAACTAATGGAAAACTACCCCCTAGATGCATACATGTAGCCATTGTATGTATTATTGTACCGAATAAAATACATACAGTTATTTCTCTGCGGTGAACGATTGCGTTCACTCTCGCAGAGGGGTGCCTTTATTCGATATATCGGGAGAGAAAAGTGGGAATATATACTATATGCCGTCCTGTCACTCACTGATAACATATGATTTTTATTATTTCCGTTTGACGTATAATAATGAATTTATAGTTTGAATAATTTTAGAGGGGTTGATGCCTTCGAGGAATTATTATGATAATTATGAACGATATCCTACGGGAATGACGCGGGGATTTTCGCCGACTATAGAATTTTTATCTATATTTATTTTTATTTAAGCAACCCTTAAAATTGATTAAAAATGGAGTTTCTGAATAACAATGCACTGTGTATATATTTATATACTGGTATCTGTGATGTACTTTTGTATTCAAGATGTGCCGTTTCCAGTATGGGGTCGTTTATGTCGAAATATGTGTCTTGCATGATTCAGTTAAATTTGTCTATTAGTTCCATATGAATATATGCCACTAAAAAGGTCTAAAAGGCAGGCCTATCCGAATCTTTTAAAATCAGCCTTATCCGTACCTCTCATCTTCACTTCTTTATATTCCTCCTTCTCTACAAAAATTCTGCATTTCTTTTCTCCTTCTTTTCTGCACTTCTCCTTCCATATCTCCTAGTTTCCGTATCTAAACCTCGTTCTTTATATTTTTTCTTCCTCCCCTTGTATCTTCTATTTCCCCGCGAGCTCTCTATTTGCACCATCTGTTGCTGTACATGCATACCTATGTCGCTTTTTTAAGAATCTCAGCAGCCATTATCACATTCAAAAACTCCAAGGAATTGTTTAAAACCAATTTTGAATACACGATTAAACACAAAATTGTTCATGGCACAGATACCACGCATGCAAGCGATCGATAAACAGTTAACTAAAGAAAATCTTAATTACTTACAGTCGTTAACTGCGATATTCTGGCGCACAAAGAACTAAACACACATTCGCTGACAACTTCACTTCTTTTTTTAATAGACTTATTCTTGATAACACAAATTGGCTTTGTTAAATTTGATGATTGAAATTGTGGTTTCTTGAATGGTGGAAAGAAAGATCTTACTTCAGCGAATACTTGGTGAAACCGTTGTTCTCGTATTTTAAGGATCTCCGCTCTTCCACCTTAAAAGTCTCCTTTAGTAAACAAACAACCCATCAAAAACAAATGTGATTGACGCCAGTTTCTAAATAAATAACGCGCTTATCTTGAAACTGATTAAATTTCACCTTACGCGACGAAATAACAAATGTTTATATCGCAATGCCCAGATAAAGCTGCCAAATACGACCAGACGTTCCTATCTTTTAATACGTAATTTCACTTTTTACAATTAAATAAACAAATTACAAGGTGATCAATTTACACATGAGTGTGAAAAAAACATTTAATGAATCATGTACAAAGTAACGTTGATCAAATTTAAATAAAATGAACGAACTGAACTGTTTAATTTAAAACCAGCAACCAAATTTACACAAAAGATTGATATTCTACATACAGGGTGATCCACTATTATTATAGGTGCCGAGCCCAAACAAAACGTCAGCATGACGTTGTTTACAGAACAATATACTCGTACAATGTATCTCAGTTAGAATGCACCTTAGGGAAACAGCATTGTTTTTTTTTGCGAAGAATCCTCCAATCTTTTCCTAGCATCAGGCTAGCACGTTGAACACTAGCTTCAAATGCATATCAAAGACCTTGTGGATTCTTCGCGAAAGAATACCTTGTGCTTCTGCTTGCTTATGGTTCATCCTGGGACACGCGATATATACAGTTATACATTAAAAATATACTATCTGTGGCGAAGATATAGTCCTCATTTCTTATTTCATCCCTCCGTGTCGTTTTTTCCTTCTTGAATCTTTAATTGCTGGTTAATCTCTTCTTTTGAAACATCTATATTTCTACCTCCTCTTTTTCCTGTTGTTCTTGTAGTGTCTTAATAAGGCGCTCCTCCCAGTCTTCTATTTGCATTTCTTTCTCACCTGTTCTGTTTTTTCCCTTTTCCTCTGTTTATCATCTCCCAAAAGTCGTTCTCTGTTTTTATTTCCCTGAATTGTTCTTCATAGCCTTTCTGTTTCTCTTTTCTTCTTGCTCTTTTCTCTTTTTCCCTCCGCCACCTGTCTAATCTATCTTTGTACCCTTCTTTCTACGTACGTCAACTGGTCATCTATGTACACCTCCCCTTACTCCTCACATTTCCCCCCACTCCGATTGTTCTCTACTTTTTGATTTTCTGATATCCATTCCTACGCGCTTTCTCCCTTTTCTTTTGCCATATTTATCTACTCCTTTTAATGTTCCTTATTTTCTCTCTTTCCATTCTCCCATTTTCGTCTTCTAGTTCTGCTATCGTTTCCATCATTTCCCTTCTCTTTATTTCCTTCCTTAATCCCCCCATTGTCTCCATCATCACCTGTTCCATTTATATGTTTGCTCTTTTGTTTCATTAGCCCCCTCCCATCATTTTTCCATTACTTTTTGTAAATCCCATATAAATACCTATAGGTATCTTAAAAATCTTCCTCATAAGTTTTCTTAGGCATATGTTTCTTGAAAATCCTGAAAAGCTTTCTTAAAAAACGTCTTAGAAACATTCTTTGTTTCTGAGGCCCAAAATTCACCATTTGTCTAAAATCTAAAGAGTTTTTCTCACTATCCGAGTCCCATATTTCAGTCTATGGTTATCTAAATCAAGAATTTAGGTTGCACCTCTACCTTTCCTTCGTGAGTACCCTTCTCCGACAGCTGCGTTCTCGAGATATTCATGTTGATTGTTGACCAATAGATATGTTACAACCAAACATTCTAATCGCTCTGTATGAGTACTCTCTTTTGACATTCCGTTTTCGATATATTCTAGACGTTCCATTTTCCATTTCTAAGTAGCCTTTTCCGACACTCCGTTCTCTAGATATTCGCACTTAAACTTATGACCTATCCAGTAGATACATTTCGTTCAGACGTTTCATTTTCCCTTGTGAAAATCCTCTTCCGACACTCCGTTCTCGATATAATATTTGCACTTGGGTGCTAAGTCAACCAATAGATATGTTTTGTCCAGACGTTCCATTTTCTCTTTGTGAGTACGCCCCTCCGACACTCCATTAAACTTTACGCCTTCTGCAGGGACACTCTGTATTTGGGCGTAAGCCTGTTGAGGGCTGGAACAAGAGAGGGATAATAAAATATAAATAAGTATTCATTTTGACTTCACTAATAGATATACTTTAGCCATATGTTGCAAGAGCCCTTTATGAGTACCCTCCTGATGTGACACAGAAAATTGTGGGCAATAATTGAGCTTTAAAAAAAGCAAAAGAAATTCCTAGTTCTAAAATCAAGCCAAGAAGTTGCGAATCGAAAGGGAAATGACATTTTCTCGTACAGGTTGATCAGTAGAATTTCGAGTAGTCGCTATCGACAAAATTGGTATAAAAAGTTGTGGGCAGAAATTGAACTCTAAAAAAAGCAAAAAAACTTGCTTCTAAAATCAAGCCAAAAAAGTCGCGAATCGAAAAAGGAAACATTTTCGAGTAGATTTTGACCTATTGAAATCCAAAGTAGTCTCGATCGACGAATTTCAAAATAAAAAGGTGTGGGAAAAAATCGAGCTTAAAGAAGCAAAAAACTTGGTCCTAAAATCAACCCAAAAAAGTTACGAATTGAAAGGGAAAAGACATTTTCAAGTAGATCTTGATCAGTAGAATCCAAAACAGTCAAAAAAGCAAAAAAAAAACAAAAAAGAGAAAAGACATTTTCGAATAGATTTTGGCCTTTATAAAAAGCAATCAAACGCTTCTGAAATCAAACCAAAAAGATGTGAATCAAAAAACAAAAGACATTTTCGAGTAGATTTTGGCCTGTCGGAATCCAAAAAGTCGGAATCGAAAAAAAGCAAAAATACTTGGTTATAAAATCAAGTCAAAAAAGTTGCGAATCGAAAGGGAAATTGGCATTTTCACGTAGATATTGATCAGTAGAATCCAAAACAGTCAAAAACGATAAATTTAGAAATAAAAAGTTTTGAGCAAAAAATCGAGTTTAAAAAAAGAAAAAACTCTGTGCTTTGCTTCTGAAATAAAGCCAAACAAATGGAGAATCGAAAGAGAAAAGACATTTTCGAGTAATTTTCGCCCATTGGAATTCAGAGTCTGAAATAATGAATTTTTAAATAAAAAGTTGTGGGCAAAAATTGGGCTTAAAAAAAAACAAAAAAAACTCGGTTCTAAAATCAAACAACAAAAGTTTCGAATCGAAAAAGAAGAGACATTTTCGAGTAGATTTTGGCCTGTTGGAATCCAAAGTATTAGGAATCGACAAATTTGGAAATGAAACGTTGTGGGCAAAAGCGGGCTTTAAAAAAAGCAAAAAAACCTTGCTTCTAATATCAAGTCAAAAAAGTCGCGAATCGAAAGAAAAAAAACGTTTTCAGTAGATTTTGATAAGTATAATCTCTGAAAATGAAAAAGTTATAGTCAATAGTTCGCCCTATGAAAAAGAAAGAGCTATATTCTCGCTTCAAAAATGGCGCTTATCGACAGTGGAAAGTACATCTCCAGTTTTAAAAATAGTTAAGGCCTTTAAAATCGAAAGTTATCACAAAAATGTCGACTCGGAAAAGGGATTTCGATTTGAATCGTTCAAAGTAATCATTCAGTTTCCGTGGAATTCATGAACCTTCTTCCAGATCACATTGGGTCTATGGGATTTTGAGCTTATTTTTGAAAACATAAGGTTTCTTGAATCATGACATTATTTCCCCAGAATTGACGGCATCTGTACTAATGATGCAATAGACCTCTGCTTCCGCTTCCGCACGTGTGGAAGTTCCGCCTCCGATTCCGCTAATTTATAACGGAATTTTTCAAATGTTGCAAGGTGCGCTGTGATTGACCGAACGGCAAGGCGGGGCTTGTCTGCCGCCAGACGTGTCGCGACTTGTTTGCCTTTGTTTACTCTCAGCCATTTCATTAGTTCGTCGGCGTTTTATCGCACAGTGTAAAAAACTTCCGTTTGTGCTTCCGCTTCCGTTGCATCACTACTCGTTACTCGCTTTCTCTCGAATTCTTGAACCTTCTTTAAAATTGAAGAGATAAGGGGCGATATTTGTTAGATCTTTAACCTGATTTTAATTTATTTACCCAATCATGCCTCAACGAAGATTTCGTGCTTCGTAGGTACCGGGTGACCCAATAAGACTGTTCCTCGGTCATATCTCGGGAACCGTAAGTCGGTTATGAAGAATCGCTGTAAAATATTTTCAAGGTCTAAAAATGACCACCAGAGGGCGTAACTGCCATTTTAAATTTTAAAATTGCATTTCCTTTAAATTTCGCATAATAAACTAAACATTCTTTTTTCACATTTTTAAAGAGAATCACTTTATCTATCATTTTCGTAAAAACAAAAGATCAGTTATTACAAAAACAAAGATGGTGTGGGGCGTTCAATTGTTTTTGCAATAGCCTGCTTTAACTTCTTAACCGTTTGACCGATTTTGGTATGGTTGAAAAGAGCATTCTTAGGGCAATGAGAATCAACCAAAATATAGTTAATTTAGTTGAATCCTTCTTCGCCAGGGGGCTAGCTTTGACAGTACGACCCAAATCCTAGAAAAATAAAAAAAATCAGGAATGATATGACTTTTTCTTTATGAAAAAGTAGCCAAATAACATCCAAAGACGCCAGTGAAAACCGTTTTTCAAAATCTCGTTCCTAACCTCAAATATTGGGAGAATGAGATTAATTAATTAATTTACAAAAATGCTTAAATTGTATCTTATTTGAAGTATTTCCGGTATTTGTCGATGGGGCGAAAGATGGAAAAGGACCCTACACTCGACCCTACACTTTTAGGTAGGCCTTGAAAATTAAACAAATGAAACACGATGCATTATAAAATAATAACAGCCGTAATTTGTAAATTATTCTGCTGTGTTTACATTCAGAAAGTGCATTTTTTTGAGTTTGTAATCTTTTCTAAAGTGCCGATTTCTAACCACGAAGCATTTAATATGCTGGCGGCGATGGTTCGTGGTCGATTCGGATAACGCAAATAGAAGATGCGGGCAGCGATGGTCGCATTTTGAAAATACTCAAAATATATCGCCAGCATATTAAATGCTTCTTGGTTAAATCGGCATTTTAGAAAAGATTACAAATTTAAGAAACTGCACTTTCTGAATGTAAACACAGCAGAATAATTTACAAATTACGGCTGTTATTATTTTATAATGCATCGTGTTTCATTTGTTTAATTTTCCAAGGCCTACCTAAAAGTGTAGGGTGCTTTTCTTTCGCGCCATCGACAAATACCGGAAATACGTAAAAAGTAAATTTAAGATACAAGTTAAGGATTTTAATTAATTAATCTCATTTTCCTAATATTTGAGGTTAGGAACGTGATTATGAAAAACGGTTTTCACTGACCTCTTTGGATCTTATTTGGTTACTTTTTCATAAAGAAAAAGTCATTTCATTCCATTTCATTCCATTTGATTTTTTTATTTTTTTAGGATTTTGGATCATAGTGTCAACACGAGCCCCCTGGCGGAGAAGGATACAACTAAATTAACTATATTTTGATTGATTCTCATTGTCCAAAGAATGCTCTTTTCAACCGTACTAAATTTGTTAAAATCGATCAAACGGTTAAGAAGTTATAGCAGGCTATTGCAAAAACAATTGAATGCCCTACACCATCTTTGTTTTTGAAATAACTGATCTTTTGTTTTTACGAAAATGATAGATAAAGTGGTTCTCTTTAAAAATGTGAAAAAAGAATGTTTAGTTTATTATGCGAAATTTAAAGGAAATGCAATTTAAAGTTTAAGATAGCAGTTACGCCCTCTGTTGGTCATTTTTAGAACTTGAACATATTTTCCAGCGATTCTTCATGACCGATTTACCCAATAATTTTGTTTACCCCTAAGTCATATGACGAACGGTTCTCGAGATATGGCCGAGGAACAGTCTTATTGGGTCATCCGGTACAATCCATTTTTTCGAAATTTATATTTGAGTGTGATCTAATAGTCGTTAATACTCTTAGAGCACTAAAACACGGCAAATTTGTGCTTTCAACTGTCGAGTCAAGTGTAAAGTTGACTGACGGCACAAATAAGGCACAAACTTCACGAAAGTCCCAAGAAAAAAGGTAACAGCGATTTTCCTAAATAACGTAAAATTTACGGTTAAATTTACCGTGTGGGAAACGGCGTGATTTAATGCCACATTTTCGCCACGGCTGTCGATTGTAATGAGTAATGAATTCTCTAGGTTAAAATCGAACAGTTTATATAACTCCTTCTGTACACAAGCTATTAACAGCCGAAACAGTAGCATTTCCAATGCAGGAATATACAAACAGCAGCTGCGTCACATGAAAAGACTAACCAGCCTTCAAATTGAATCATTACCCGAGGAAAGCAAACACGCCGCCCCTCGTATTATGCCATTGTAATCGGCACCGCAGTACACTTCAATCAATAACATTTTCTATATTGTGCACGTTACAAATTTGAGATTAGATTTCCGATCGTAATTTCTGCTAGGGGCGCGCTGACGTTTTTGTTTTTTTTTATTGTTGCAGGTGTGGTTTAAAAATCGAAGAGCGAAATGTAGACAGCAACTGCAGCAGCAGCAGCAAAACAAGTCGTCGTCGTCGAGAAGCCCGGTGACGCCGTCGAAGGCTAAGCCGAGCAAGGTGTCGCCGATTTCGACGCCGACGGCCGGAAACGCGTCGACGACGAACATTCCTCCACCGTCCACGTCAGTCTCCCCGCCAATAGTTCACATCAAAAAGGAGCCACCTCAGATTCCGCACCCGTACCGTAGCAACAACGGCAATTTAACGCCACTAGGAAGCAACACCAGCAGCGTAATAACGACACCTTCACCTCCGATCACCCCGTCCAGTAACCCGCCCTTGTCCTACCAGCACGACTCCTATAACTCCTTCAACTGGCACACGAACGGCCACAACTCCTCACCGCACCACTACTACGGCCAAAACTACAACGCGGCCTACTACAGCCAAATGGAGTACTTCAACCAGCAAAGCAGCCAGAACCAAATGCAGATGGGCAACCACGTCAGCGGCGGTTACCACCAAATGAGCGGCTACGGCAACGGCATGACGATGGGCATGACGGGCACCCACCACCAGAACTTCAACCCCCGACATCCCGACTGCAACAACCTAGACTACATGAACCAAATACTTTAGTTATGCATTTTCCCGTCGAACAGTGTGGGTGAAGTACAAAATTAGACAGTTTTACAAAAAGACAATCCGTAGCTTTTAAGTGCATATCATAAACGAATTTTTCCGATTAGCATTAAATGATTGTACATATTTTACTGTATGTGATTTTGCCCGATGAGGGCGCCTAAAAGTTCTTGTAAATATAGCAGTTAGATAGTGATCATTCCATACATTCTCCCTTTCGGTATTGTTGGTACCAAGGACGGAGAGCTGCCGCAATAATTCCCCAAATTTGGGGGATGATCGCGGCAGCTCGACGCCTTCGTGCGATAGCCCTCACTCAGGAAACGACTAAATTGGCAATCCTCATTTTTCTGTGATTTCTTATAGTTAATCCTATAGTGTTTGTGCTTAAGTTTTTTTACGAACGCATTCTGACTGTACGAAATGTAAAAAGCGATTAATAAAATAAGTCTACATTGATCCTGGTTTTCATTACGACTGGAGTGCTTGGATAAACACTCGAGATTCTTGAGGTTAGATTAACGGTAAGTTGCATTTCCTGTAGTACTACAATGGATTTATCTCGGCGGCCAATTCGCTCGACTACTAAATGCTAAACATTGAATTTGGACACGTGACCGGCTAATGAATTTGGCACGTGACTTTTAATCTGCATGATCTAGTGTGCTGGTCGCGGACACGTGCGCGACGCGTGCGATCCGATTGACAGTGTAACCTTAGTAGTCACGAAAGAAAATGCCTACCGAAATTTGTTTCGATAATTAGAGTCGAATGGGAATTTGACGCGGACAAGAGGGAGTCGGTTTACGCTTTAATTGCAATTCATTTTTTAACCGACGCTAAGCGTCTCCAGCGTCACTTCCAAAGTTCATTCTCAAATGATTGCGGCAATTAAAAGTTCAGTTCCTTGTTATTTTTCAGCTTCAAACGTCGATCTTCTTTTGCATCTTTTAGTTTCTGCAGAAAATAGTATACTTCCGATTCTCCGTCCTCTGAATGATCAGATCTTCAAAACTCATCGAATTATACAGTTTCTTAGAAATGGTTCGAATGCTTACATTTTTTTATTCTTTAAGTTTTTTGATTCCTAACATTCTGTTAATTCTTTCAATATTTTAAACTCAGAGGCTCAAATCTTCCAATTCTTCTTTCTTCAAATACTCGATCTTCGAATGTTGCCAATTCTTCTTCGATATTTTTGTCAATTGTTTTCTTTGAATTTTTTAATTTCTTCACATCCCGGTTCCCCTTCTCCCGATCGATCAGATGTTCAAAATTCTTCGGGATTCATAGGAATTATTCGAATTCTTAAATTTTTATTATTCTACAAATTATTCCAAGATTCTTCATGTATTTCTGATTCCTATCAATCTGTAAACTCTTCCAGTTTTTTTAAAAATCTTCCAGATGCTCAAATCCTTCAATTGTTCTTCTTTCTTCAAATACTGAATCTTCGAATTTTTCCAATTCCTCTTCGGTATTTTTGCCAATTCTTCTCTTTGCATTTTTTAATTGCTTCACATCCTGTAACTTCCTCCAACTCACCTTCCTCTGATCGACATGAACTTCAAAATTCGTCGAGTTTCTTAGAAATGATTCTAAGTCTTACATTTTTATTATTCTTCAAATTATTTCTGATTCCTAACATTCTGTAAATTCATCCAATTTTTTTAAACCCAATGTGGTCTTCCAGATGCTCAAATCTTCCAGTTCTTCTTTCTTTAAATACTTGATCTTCGACTTTGGCCAATTCTTTTTCGGTATATTTGGCAACTTTTCTCATTGAATCTTTTACTTTCTTCACATCTCGGTGCCCCTTCCCCTGATCAATCAGATCTTCAAAATTCTTCGGGATTCTTAGGAATGATTCAAATTCTTACATTTTTATTATTCTACAGATTATTCCAAGATTCTTCATGTATTTCTGATCCCTATCAATATGCAATTCTTCTTTCTTCAAGTACTTGATCTTCGAATTTTGCCAATTCTTCTCTTTGGATCTTTTACTTTCTTCACATCCGGTGGATTCGTCCGCTTCCACGTCCCCTGATCGATCAGATCTTCAAAATCCTTCGGGATTTTTAGGAATGATTCGAATTCTTACATTCTTATTATTCTTCAAAGTATTCCAAGATTCTTCAAGTTTGATTTCTAGCATTTTGTAAATTCTTTCAATGTTTAAACCCATGTGATCTTCCAGATGCTCAAATCTTTCAGTTCTTTTTCTTTCTTCACATACTGAATCTTCGAGTTTTGCCAATTCTTCTTCGGTATTTTTGCCCATCCTTCTCTTTGAATCGTTTACCTTCTTCACATCCTGCGGATTCGTCCGACTCCCCTTATCCCGATCGATCAGATCTTCAAAATTCTTCGGGATTCATAGGAATGATTCGAATTTTTACATTTTTAATATTCTAAAAATTATTCCAAGATTCTTCGTGTATTTCTGATTCGTATTAATCTGTAAACTCGTCCAATTTTTTTTTAAATCTTCTAGATGCTCAAATCTTCCAATTCTTCTTTCTTCAAATACTCGATTTACGAATTTTTCCAATTCTTCTTTGGTATTTTTGCCAATTCTTCTCTTTGAATCTTTTACCTTCTTCACATCCTGCCGATTCGTCCTATCCCCTACCCCCGATCAATCAGTTCTTCGAGATTCATAGGGATCATTCGATTTCTCACATTTTTGTTATTCTTCAAATTATTCCAAGATTCTTCAAGTTTCTCTAATTCCTAACACTTTGTAAATTCTTTCCATTTATTCCAGATGCTCTAATCTTCCAATTCTTCTTTCTTCAAATACTTGATCTTCGAATTTTGTTTATTCTTCTTTGGTATTTTTAGCAATTCTTCTCTTTGAATCTTTTACTTTCTTCACATCCTGTGGATTCGTCCGCTTCCTCTTCCCCTGATCGATCAGATCTTAAAAATTCTTCGGGATTTTTAGACATGATTCGAATTCCTACATTTTTATTATTCTTCAAATTATTCCAAGATTTTTCAAGTTTGTCTAATTCCTGACTTTCTGTAAATTCTTTCAATTTTTTAAGCCCATGTGATATTCCAGATGCTCAAATCTTCCAATTCTTTTTTCTTCAAATACTTGATATGCGAATTTTACCAATTCTTCTCTTTGAATATTTTACTTCTTCCACATCCTGTGGATTCGTCCACGTCCCTTTCCCCTGATCGATCAGATCTTCAAAATTCTTCGGGATTTTTAGGAATTATTCGATTTCTCACATTCTTGTCATTCTTCAAATTATTCCAAGATTCTTCAAGTTTCTCTAATTCCTTACATTCTGTAAATTCTTTCAATTTTTTAAACTCATGTGATCTTCCAGATGCTCAAATTTTCCAATTCTTCGTTCTTCAAATACTTGATCAAATTTTGTCAATTCTTCTTTAGTATGTTTAGCAATTCTTCTCTTTGAATCTTTTACTTTCATCACATCTTGTGGATTCGTCCGCTTCCTCTTCCCCTGATCGATCAGATCTTCAAAATTCTTTGGGCTTCTTAGACATGATTCGAATTCTTACATTTTTATTATTCTTCAAATTATTTCAAGATTCTTCAAGTTTGTCTAATTCCTAACTGTCTGTAAATTCTTTCAATTTTTTTAACCCATGTGATATTCAAGATGCTCAAATCTTTCAATTCTTCTTTCTTCAAATACTCGATTTCCAAGTTTTGCCAATTCTTCTTTGGTATTTTTGCCAATTTTTTTCTTTGAATCTTTTACTTTTTTCACATCCCGGTTCCCCTTCCTCTGATCGATCGGATCTTCAAAATTCTTCAGGATTCATAGGAATTATTCGAATTCTTACATTTTTATTATTCTACAAGTTATTCCAAGATTCCTCATGCATTTCTAATTCCTATCAATCTGTAAACTCATTCAGTTTTTTAAAATCTTACCCATGCTAAAATCTTCCAATTTTTCTTCTTTCTTCAAATACTCCATCTTCGAATTTTGCCAAATTTTCTTCGGCATTTGTACCAATTCTTCTCTTTGGATCTTTTACTTGCTTCCCATCCTTTAGATTCGTCCGATTCCCCTTCCCCTTATCGATGAAATTTTCAAAATTCTTTGAGTTTATTAGAAATGATTCGAAGTCTTATATTTTTTTTATTCTTGAAATTATTTCAAAAGTTTTTCTGATTTCTAACATTCAATAAATTCTTTCAAATTTTTGAATAAATCTTCCAGTCTTACTGATCTTTGAATGTTACAAATTCTTCTTCGGTATTTTTGCCAATTGTTCTCTTTGAATATTTTACTTTCTTCACACCGTGTGGATTCGTCCAATTCCCCTTCCCCTGATCGATCAGATCTTCAAAATTCTTCGGGATTCATAGGAATTATTCGAATTCTTCCATATTCTACAAATTATTCCAAGATTCTTCATGTATTTCTGATTCCTATCAGTCTGTAAACTCTTACAGTGTTTTAAAAATCTTCCAGATGCTCAAATCTTCCAATTCTTCATCTTTCTTCAAATACTCGATCTTCGAATTTTGCCAATTCTTCTTTGGTATTTTTGCCAATTCATCTCTTTGAATCTTTTACTTTTTTCACATCCCGGGTCTCCTTCCCCTAATCGATCAGATCTTCATAATTCTTCGGGATTCTTAGAAGTGATTCGAGTTCTTACATTTTTATTATTCTTCAAGTATTTCTGATTCCTATCAATCTTTAAACTCTTCCAGTTCTTTAAAAATCCTCCAGATGCTCAAATCTTCCAATTCTTCTTTCTTCAAACACTCGATTTACGAATTTTTTCAGTTCTTCTTCGGTATTTTTGCCAATTCTTCGCTTTGAAACTTACTTTCTTCACATCCTGTGGATTCGCCCGATTACCCTTCCCCTGATCTATGAGATCTTCAACATTCTTCGAGTTCCTTAGAAATGACTTGAATTCTTACATTTTTATGATTCTTCAAATTATTCCAAGCTTCTTCAAGTTTTCCATATAATGACATCTTCGAATTCTTCCGATTTTCATATTTTTGTTCGAATTCTTCTTTGCAATTTTCAAATTTATCAACATTTTTTGGAATTCAATTCTTCAAAATTTTCCAATTTTTTCGGTAGTTTGACAATTCTTTAGGTGCATTCATCAAATTGTTCCAATTCCTCCGACCCTCTAAATTCTTCAAATTCATCGATTCTTTAGATTTTTCCGACATCTCGTTCTATAAGGTTATCTTCTTCCAATTAATTTCGATCTCTGTGATCCTCCAGATTTTGCGACTTCTTCAAACACTTTGGATTTTTCTATTTCTTCAGATTCTGTTCCCTGGAATTGTTGCAATTCCTTTCTATTTCAATTCTTCAATTGTACTGTGTATTCGGCGGCTTCTTCAGACTATTGGAATTCTTCACCTTGGATTCTTCATATGCTTAGAGCTGTTCATGTTTTTT